AGCAATCTCTAAATACCACAGTCTGCACATAATGTACTGTATTTAAGGATATTTCTATCCTTTCTACAACTGAGAGATCACATTCTTCTGTGTAGTACTTTAAGCATTAGGGCAATACATGCATATGTTGATCAATAGATTCCATTCTTATGTCTGTATGCTCAATATGAAGAGCCAGGAAACAATTGCTCTAGCTTGGCATGAAGACTGAATTCAGGGGGAAACAGCAAGCCAAAAGTCCTAAGATCTGACTACCGGCACCTCCTTACTTTTCTGATTTGCAATTTCTGTGTTGTTTGTTCAACCCATAGCAAAATAGTAACTATAGTATTAACAGATGTTGCTTTTCCAGGGTTGTGCCAGGCTATCCTGACTTCAGGAAGTCACTGCTGCTGGCCAGGAAATAGATTAATTGTTTTTGCTCTTCTGTTTTTGTGCAGATTAAACAAACAATACATAATGTGTTAATTAGTCCGCTTTAGAAGATTTGATGTTTTCTCTGTTTATCATCGTACGCTGAATCTTTTGGTTTGAGGCTGTGGGGGGAAAATATGTTATTTAAGATGTCAACATGGGCTCTGGGAATGGGTTTATGCAAAATGTCAGGTTAATATTTGTATGTAGTGCCCTCATTGGGGTCCTTCAAGGTAACATACAGTCCTGGGTCAAACTAAATAAATGATGCATGCACGTTCAATCAACAACTTCAAAACAAATTGAAAATAAACAAAGGTTGAATCTGTGCCAGTCCATTTCCATTTAGTTTCAATGGATGTGTCAGAATGATCTGAAGTCCACGGACTGTGCTGAGTCTGCCAGGAACACATAAAGCCACCGCTGATAGATTTCCCTATAACTTTTGGGGAATGGCTGAGGAGCAAACTATCAATCAGGGGGTTTAGACTTTGCTCCAACCAAATTAAATCAACTCAATTTCAATTCAATCAAAGCTGCCTCTCACAAACACAGGTCCCACCGAGGCTCCAATCGACCACAAAGCAGACAGTGTGAGGGCAGAGGGTGAAGTGACAAACTTTAAACTTTTAAGCAGATCCACTGCACTCTACTAAACTGTCTGCAGGTGGAATACATGACCAAAACCACAAGGTATCCTTTAAAGAAATATACACCACATATGTAGATGAAGACCAATTAATATACACATGAAATACACCTATGCAGCCAATAACCTCACCGTTACCCTATTTAAGGAAACAAATCAACACATTCAAAAGCATTTGCCTGAGCCCTTGGCTTCTGCACCATTGTGCCGATGCTGCTGTGTTCTGAGATGAACAGAATGAAATGAATTGACAAAGAGCTATTGTCGGTCTTAACGGCCTTAAGGCCTCAGTATGCTCGAACAAAGAGCTCCAGAGATTGTCGAACAGTGTCTGAAATCCCCTCTCTAGACATCTTTCTGATGTTGGAGTTGGCGGGCCTATTTTCAACACATCTTTGTAACTTTCTGAAACAGACTATTTGATAGGAGATACAATATAGGAAGATAGGAAAGTTTTGATTTCTCTCTCAACTGTACCTATATTGAGTTGCTTGGTGTAAAGCCCAGAGCAACACATTTGATACCTGTCTGAAACAGCCAAAAAACTGATTCAACCTTATAACCAAAATATTACAAAAATAATATGGTCTCTTGGGTGCTTCAGAAGTAGATTGTCCTCTCTTGACTTTTTTTGTCAAATGGCTGGCTTTAACATGAAGGTTGTTTAAACAATTTGCTAACATTTGATTTCTGTTTTGTTAGCTAATCTTCAGAAATCTGCTGCTGTTATTGTAATCCATATTATGTTAGGCTATTTAATTCTGTCTCTCTTGACACCCGCTTAATCTTACACAGCGCGGAGATTGCTTTGAGTAGCCAGTCCTTCACCTAGAGAATTTAGCTCTTTTAGATTGTGTTTTTTCCTCAGCATACCAATACGCATTAATGCACCAATGGCTCCAGGAAAACCATTATGAAACAAAGAAGCAGGCTAGTTTACAAAGAAAAAGCGATACACAACGTACAATTTGATATTTCACAGCAAATAAACAACACGAAATAAGATGCAAAGATGCAACAATACTACAGGTTAAAATTGACCAACCTAGCTGGCAACTTAGAGTCAAATAAACAATTATAGTTGCATGACACTGGCTATTTTCAGATTGCTTTATTTAACTCTCCAAATTGGAAATTATGTTTAGTGCAATTCTGAACCTGAAACCAGTTGCATGAAAGTTCCTCTGTGTGTGCCCAGTCCTGCTTTGTGTGTGTGAGCAACCAAGCGTAACACCATGAATGAGAGTAAAGAGAGTGCCAGAAAGATTGACTGTGTCCAGACAACACAACATGCAGGAGACACAGAGCTTTGGAGAGAGATTCGAAAGTCATGCAGCCAATCGGAGGCTGTGATGGCTTCTCACCAAGCCTTTGAGTATGAAGACTGGGTATACACACTTACTTCTAGATGTGGTCAGACAACAAGTATCACTGTATTGGTTTCAAGCCTACTGAACTCTTTACTCATTCACTAGTGAGTTGACTTTCTCTCTGCTTCTCTTTCTCCGCACTCTTTACTCCCTGTTTTTGTTCTCTATTGTCTCTCTATCTCTCTACCCAATTTTCTCATCTCCCTTAGCTACATCTCCTTTCTGTTTGGCTTATGTTTCCAGACGACAAGGCCACCAGCCAGGCTCATATGCAGACGCTGGGTGCATTTAGTGCTCAGGTTGTGTGAGGCTCTCAGCTGCAATTGCTGCTTGAATCAGAGTGACAGTTAGCCTGGAGCTGCTCTCATTGCTCTTCTTGCTCTCTGTTCCCCTCCTGAACACAAGAGCAGCCATATGCTTCTCCTCTGCCTTCGACTAGAGGGTTATTTCATTAAAATGTTGTCTGCTTTTCCATCCTTTTTTTATTTTTCGCTTTCTTGTCTTCCTGCCGCTTCAGGCCTTAGCAGGTTGGTTGTGCAAAAGATCAACATGGCAAGCTTCTCAACAGATGGCTGTAAGGACTCGTGGTATATGATTCCCCCCTTCAGCATGAAACTCCGCTCAGCCAAGAGCCACGGTTACCGTCCAGCAGACTCAATTGCTGACCGCGGTGGTTGGAGGCAGGTCAGAGCGACTGTTTAGGGAGGTGCTTGAGGTTTGTCTGTGATAGTTCCTGGCAGCTGCGCTCGTGTGTTCAGTCTGCTCAGACTCCGGGGGGACTTGAACTCTGCGTGTGTCAACCGTCAAGCAGATGTCCAGGATCAGGAGGAGGACAAGTGGCTTTGCACATGCTTCAGAGGACGATGGTGTCCCCAAGTGTCTGCATGCATACACATTCACACATGTCTACCTTCATACATTCATGACTTGGGCACTTACTGGTGAGAAAAAGTAATTTGGACAAGAGAGTTTGAAAGATGTTTTAAAAAAATAGAAGTGAAATAGAAGGAGCCGTTCTTATGTCCTGCCTGAGTAATTTGAAGAAATGAAAGATGAAAAAAGTAAAAGGCATAAGTGGCGTTGGTATGAGAAAATCAGGAAACTCAAATTGAAATTATTTTTCTTTCTCAAACTATCTCTGTCTGGTCCAAAGACTCCTTGTCAGACACTTTTCAGAGAATATCTGTGACGTCTTAGCGCTGGATGATATTTGTGGAGCTTGGTGAGTGACGCATATCCCAAACACTAGTTCTCTCTACAAATTCAATTTTATAAAAAAAAGCCTATATGATTGAATCCTGTCTCGTCTGACACCCGAAGCCAAGACAAACTACGGTAACAAATACATTCCTGGGAATCACAGAAATTGCATTTCATATGATGTCCGACTCCGACTTGTCACTCAGAATTATCTGGTACGTTGGTGAATACACAGTGCAGGGATTTCAGCACATTTACAAATGAAATGTAAAAGAGAAGAGACAGTGGGGAAGAGAGGGAATTTCAGAGCTGCCTTCAAAGCCGCTGCCACTCCGGTCTAATCTTTAAAGTAACTGTACACATGCACCCCTATAAAAAAACACAGCGAGAGAAAATGAGATCATTAATAGGGATGGCAAGGCAATAGATGTGTGCATTTATTATGCGGAGAAACAACATAAACAAGCACTGTGCGAAGTAGATAAGCAGGCTGCCACAAAGCTGCTGTCGGCCAGTCGGGCCACTAATCTGTGCGTCGTGGCCAACAGAGACTATAAACTGTGTGAAGAAGAAAGAAACTTTAAAATAAACTATTAACTATGTACATTTTTAATTACACATACATTGCAAAGCATGCAAGCACTCATTATGGACTCATGCCCACGTCACACACACAGTCGAACTTGCACAACCATGACTTATGAACACATTCATAATAACATTTTACAAATGATGCCTGACCACCAGGCTTTGTCACATCCCGCTGTAAGTATTTCATCCTTCTAAAAAAAGATGCCTCCAAATGGAGCCGTTTCTCTGTGATCGTGCGTTGTGGGCATTAAGCCTCCAGGATGCGGAGTTAATGGGATTGCTCCTGTTTTGCTTCTGGCTGCGAGCTGCATGGTGGCTGGAGAGCCTGTGAGTTGATGCCTAGAAACGACTTAGCGGAGACAAGAAGAAGCCGAGCCAATTTCTACTTTGTTGCTTCTCCAGCATGGCCAAGACATCCAATTCCATCAGGCCTCTGCTGCTGGGCGGCAGATAGAAAATGGGCCCAGCTTATTCCCTTATCTTCTAATGGCTCTGATAACAGATTGGTGGAAACGGTGTCAGAATAACTGCCGCATGACCCGCTGCCAGAGACCCTTATTAATCTTACTAAGAAACAACAGGAACAAGCTATGGGTATTAAGAACGCTTCGGTATCATTAACATATTTGCAAGAAGAGCAACAACTTGAGGATTTGTTATCTAATAACATAAATGTCAACAATATGACAAAAGCTTCCTGGGGACCATCTAACCAGAGGTAACGATGTGTCCTCATGGATGAACTCAGATCTCTACTATTTTCTGTTCCGACTCACCGGGGGCTTTGTAGAAGCCGATGTCTTCCTCAGTAAGAGGCAGCAGGTAGACTTCACCTTCCTTCCACAGCAGGGAGTACTCCTGCCCTCCAGAGAACTCCCCCAACCAGCCGTCCTGATCTGGAGATGAAAGAAAACATTTCAGAACATGAATCACGGCTTTTCTCTGCATCACAGGATGTCTGGATGGTAAATGCGCTTTGTATACAAAGAGTATAAACCTTTGAGTTCTTACAGGAGATGTGTTCAGATTATTTTTCTATTAGGTTTATTTTATCTGAGATCAACAGAGAAAAATAACAACAGTACACACAGTGGCCCTGAGAACTCAACACACAGCAAATAAAGAAAACATATGCAGAAACATTGCAAATAGAATCAGACAAACATAATAAACCTAATAATAATATGTTTTTAATAAATCGTTTTCAGCACAGTATCTACCATTGCATTTGAAACATGCAATCAGAATACTGTTTTATGTATTTTGTAACACATTGTACGTTATAGTCTAAGGGGCGGGACATCTCTAAGCGGTTAACCAATCCAATCAATCAGAGCAGACTGGGCTCTGGTTTCAGACAGAGGGTGAAAAGAGGTGCTGCAGCACAGGCAGTATGAGAAAAATAAAGAGCTTTTTGATCATAAAGCATGGAGACATGTCACAGAAGCAGAGACACTAAATACTAATATGAACCTGAAAATGAGCAGAATATGTCCTCTTTAGGAATGCAGGTTCTATATTCCCTTGCAGCATTTTGTCTACATCTTCATGTGTTGTAAATTGATGGAAAGTATTTCTTATTAGCCTGTGTGTTGTAGAATTGCAGGCTTTTCAAGTTGCAGTAGGTTAAGCTAAAAGGGCAAACTCCCTCAAATTGAATAGAAACAACATATTCAATTCGGTTGAACTACAGAAAAAATAACAAACATGCACAAGACACTTCTTAATTATAGCACAATAAAACACAGAAATCAAGGAGAATGAAGACGGTGCAAATTCAGAAAGAACAAAGTAAACCCCCGGTCATTTTTATTTTTGCTGATTAATAACATCCCCACAGAAACAAAGAAACCTTATTAATATCTGGCAAGTCTTAGACAATACCTTCAAGGAAGTCAGAGGTGATGTGGACAGCAGCGTAGTGATTGGACGGGGAGCAGGCCAGCGAGTGGCCGAAGCAGAAACACGCCTGGCAGCCTGCTGTGTTTACGTGTTGTAGGTTGAAAAAGCCAGGCCTGCATCTGTAGGTACACACACACAAACATTCCCTCATGCGTTACAACATTTAAATATTGCCCCTCATTGCAGCTATTTATCACATCCCTGCTGGTTGCTGCAGTGTTATGGAAGATGGGGCCAAATGGAGCTCAGCTGCGAGGACCCTGAGCACTGACCTACAAACACTCTCTGGCATAAGGGTGGACAGGAACAGCGCTAGAAATCAGCCTCTACACTCGTCACATTACACAGGAGAGGAGCCTGCTCAACCAGCCGTGAAATCAGCCAAAAAGTCAACAAACAGGGAGCACAGAATTATTCAATAGTCTGAGACCTGGGGCTGTGTGTATTGCTGATGTCACAGTGAGTTCATCTGTTTGATCCTGTATCCCTGAGGAGCGAGATAGAAACATACAGAGGGGCGCAGGCACTTGGTTATCGACGTGTTGCAACGGCACAACATTTGGAAGATAATGTCTAAGAAGTCAAAATGACAGAAAACTCAAAACCTGGGAGAAATGCTTATACAAAATATTCTTAAAACTAAAGTATACTGATTTTGTGATTACCTGTCATATGGACCAAACGTTTTATCCTAAAAATTAGGACTTTTAGTAACTTAATTTCCTAAAATTCATCAATGCTTTTTTTTTAATACAGATAACGTGCACAAATAAAAACAATAAATACGATTTATCTAAAAAGGAACCCATAAACCTTGTTATTTTCTTTTTGTATTTGCTCCATAATAAGGAGAAATTATTTTTTCTGTGAATGCTTACTCTGCACTCAAAGTAATGAATGGTCGGTAAAGTCTTTAGTTGTTCTATTGTGGAGGCCTTCTCAGTTGCCTTGGTAACCATAGGTTATTTGCGCACATACGTGACGTTATAAAGAATCTTATAACTCACCTGTCGCAGCTCTGCCCCTCCACGTGTGGCTTACAGTGGCAGCGTCCGTCCAGAGCAGAGCAGACGCCCACACTGCCGCTGGAGGCACAGTCACAGGGCCTGCAGGAAACAAGAGGAAACAGGATTAACATCCATTGCACTCAAGAGAAAATGAGGCACATTATTAAGAGACAAGGAGCAGTCATTGGAAAGTGTGGACTGGTTTTTTTTTTTTTGGTCAATGTTTTGTTTATTGAAAAAACAGATTCAATCATCCAGGTTCCCAATTGGGACAATGATAATCTTCCATTTTCATTTTTTCTTAGAATGAACCTAACCCCTCCCACCCATACCTTGAAAACCCATAGAGATACAAGTTTAATCATGGAAACACATTTATTCCATGTCAAAAAGAACACAGTAACAACAAATACAAGAATAAAAATACATAAAATAACAAGTAGAGGTAGTAGTAGTAAGAGGGATAAGTATATACAAAGATAAATAAGAGTCTGAATAAAAAAAGGGAAATAAAAAAATAAAAAAATAAATGTTCCACTATACGGTTGGGAGTGTTTGTCGGTTATTGAAGTAATCTATCAAGCACTGCCATTTCTTATAGAAACAGTCTGCAGAGCCCCTAAGAGTATCTTTTATCTTCTCAAGTTTGAGAAACAAATACAGGTCGATGGGGGCTAAGGGGATAGCCAATCTAGTCAAATTCTGTGACGAGCTAATAGAGATATGCCACTATATCAGCTTGTTTGGCAGTCAAAGTGGAATGGTCTCCTGGAACCCCAAAGAGTATAATATAAGTGCTTGGCAATACTCTATTGGCTTCCCCTTATTCCACGTCACAGATGGTCAGCTACACAATCGCTTCCCTGGAAACAGTGGGGAGGCTTGCTCAAGGACGCCTCAACAATATGGGTACTTGTCTCTGGCCTTGAATCTCTCCTTAATAACTAGTCCACTCTGTGAATGTATTTTTGTCCTTGTCATTACATTTATATGTTCTACATTTCTATCCAAGGCAATTTAGCCAAGAGTTTTTGTAGCTTTCAAAAACCCAAGCCATTGTAAGTGCAACTGCATTAGCTTCAAATAAGCCGAACCTTGGTACAGAAATGACCTTTTTGAAAAAAGATTAATGGCCAAGGTGTATTAACAGTCAATAAACACTAAGATGCTTGGTTAAGTACACAATCAAACACAACAATTAAAACAACCTTGATAAAAACGAGGCGATGTGTTGGGTAATGTCAAAAAAGCATTTGATCACCTGCATTGATTGATTACTTTTATTTGCACCTGTAACACAAAATCTATTTTTTAATGAGGCACTATTACAAATAATGAAATTATCCCCAGGCGAGGCGTCTCTACTTGTTTCTGCTCCAGTGGGCTGAGTAATTCTCACCTCAACCCAACGGCCTGATTTTACTGCATGGATGAGAGAAAGTGTGCGTGTTGGCATGTGTGTGTGTAGAATTCTTTGAGGGAGAAACATCTAAAATAAGGGTCAACTGTAAAATCATTATACGCTATTGATTAATGAATAGGTCATTGCCAAAACTTGTGATATTCATTAAAGGAAATGTGTTCCAAGGGTTCTTAAATCAGTAATGTGTTTTCACTAAAGGCTCCTTGATCTTGAGCCTCTCTTTAAACCTGCATTAACTTATGCGTTCGGACGTTTATGGGCAAAGAAAACAAGCTGTGAACACAGTGCTGGCATAATAACCATTTAGGCTGATGAACTGGGAGCAATATTAGCATTCATTGGGAGTTTGTTTTGCACCTGGCTGATGCAAAACCAATATACTCCCATTGAATCTCTAGTTGGTCTCCACTTTGCCTGGGAATCGTACCAATTTGCAAGCACATATTGGACATTTTTGTGGCCCCTTGACTTTGGACAGACAACTGTTATCTACTATGGGTTCTGTTTAACTGTACAGAGGAGTTTGCTGTTGAGAGATTTTTCAAAACAACCAAGATGGCTGCAGCTGATGTGGAACTTTCTGTTTAAGTGAGGTGATACATCTGAGCTAAAGGAAAAACAATCAACTGCGCATAAAGCTTTACTTGAGAGGGAGAAGTGTTTGCTTTACTTCAAGCTGAATTTGGTCAAAGTTTAATATACTAAGTCAGTTATAGGTTTACATATTTCTGTTTCTTAGGCGTGAGGGTTTCCAAATTATTTAACATGTTCTGGCTTGTCTCCATCAGCTTATAAGAACCATATCTGCCACTTTATTTAACTAGCGAACTTTGCCTTTCCGCTGTAGCTGGACTGTAATCACTCGTTGGGGCTTGTCCGTGAAAAACAAAGGACTGGAAACAGCAAGCTAAGGAAACTGCATTTTTTTAATAATATCTGAGAGGGTGCTTCTCTGATTGTGAAGCCCTGAGGCAAATTCGTGATAGTGAGGCTTTATTAATAAATTCAGTTGGCTAACCAATTCTCATTTTATGTGGATTTTAACTACTCTATGTTCTACAAAAACACTAACACTATCATCACCTCTTTTTAATTACGCATAGTCCTTGCATTCATTGTTAATACAAAAATATTGAATGTAGCAGCTTTAAAATCCCAAGAATACATTTTGAAAATGTTTGACAAATGCTAAAACTGAATTTCAATTTTTTGGGAGTTTGTTGTTGTCACAGTATCCAGAGTGATGTGTTGAGAAATAGTGTTAACACCAAATATTCATTGTTATGCGAGACAACGGCCTCACATCTTAGCATTCCCTCTGCAGGTAGAGGGGGTCAGGGAGAGATACGGTGGACTTCTTATGAATATAAACATACTTCTCTTACAACACACACACACACACACACACACACACACACACACCACACACACACACACACACACACCACACACACACACCCACACACCCCACACACACCCACACACCCACACACACACACACACACACACACACACACACACACACACACACACACACACACACACACATTATCATGCAGGCTCATATGCATGCATACTCAGTAGGAGAGCTCTCAGTTCAGAAAAAGTTGGAATCTGCTTTTTATCATCAAAATGTATGCAGTAGGTCAATGTCACTTTAAGCAACAAAAAAACCAGACTGAGTGTGCAAAGCCTCAAAACCAAATCAGCCTCATATCTCTGGGATGAAAGAAACTCAACCTATCTTAAAATCAATTAAACCCAGTGAGCTCATTCTTTCAGCATACTGAAACAATCAAAATCAGAGCTGAATACAAATACTGATAACAAAAAGTTTCTTCAATAGACACGGTCATTTTGTTTTTATTCAGGGAACCACCTCAATTAATAGACAAACAATTTTAATCAGCCATCAATCTGGAAATAATATATTTTTCACAATCAGTGATTACTTTGTCTCAGCAAGGAACCATCAAACAGTATCTCTAAAAATAAATAAAAGCATTTATTGCCTGCATACTAAATAATTCAATGTCAGGAATTAAACAAAAGTATGGAATAAGCTTGTATTACTAAGATGACATTCCTGATCTATTAAAAGCCTATTCATAAATAGATGATAAGTCAAAAGAGATTATAGATTTGTGTATGCGAGACTAGACAAACCTTTCCTAACTAAATCATTATATATTCATCTGCAGGATAGCAGGGAGGTTTTTAAAGGGTTAAGTTTACTTTTGGGACCATCAGAGGAGCATTCAGTTTGATGAGGGCTATTCTAGCTGCCACATGTTTTCAGTTGACATTTTTGAACATTTGAGAAAAATGTTGCATTGTTGTCCAATTATTTGTATAACATAGAGACCAAGTATCTTCCTATAAAGTTGAAATGGCAAAGAGTTCTTTGTTTACACCAGACATTATCAACCAAACATTCAATATTAGTAATCATTTGGAGTTATGTTTTAAGCAACCCGTTGTTTCCAAGTCCAATATTCACTCTCTGTGTCGGCATGTTTTAGTCTCCACCAACTTTTGAGAAGTACCTAGCTATTTAGCTGCTAAATATTCAAGTTAGTTTGTCTGTCTGGCATTTAGTGGATTCATTAGATCAGATTTCAGACAAATGAAATGGACATTTATTCTAATAATGAGATAATGTGGATTAAACAATTCAGTAAATATACGTTAATAAAGACCAACAAATGTACCAAGAAGTGACACGTAGGAATCGTAGAGGTTAACAGAGGTTAGAAATAAGTAAACTATCCTGTTTTGAGTTGTATTAAAGTATTTGTGGAAATCTTGATTCAATCAAATGTTGATGCTTTTCTTAAGTTCAAGTTTCCATGTGGAAAATTAAAGTGCTCCGGGTTGTTTTGCCTTTTTAGAAATGGTTATTAGCAGACAGATTCTGTAGAGCACATCCTGACTCATGCTGATAAGAAGGTCACTAATTCACAGTGGTGTCACAGAGAGAAATGAAATCCTCTTGTTTACGGCTGCTTTGGAGTTTGATAAATTCACGCTCGGGGAAGTAGGATGGTGCAACTGCAAAACAGGGAGGATGTATGTGTGTCTGTTGTACCTGTTTATTCCTATTAACCCCTTAAGATGCCTTATTATAAATATTTCTTTCATTAATTGTCTTTCTGACCATGTGTGTTGCTCACCTGCAGCCACCAGGGCCAAGCGAGTGAAAGCCAGCCCGACATGTGTCACATTTCGCCCCTGTCACGCCATTTTTACACGCACACCTTCCCTCTACATCACACTGCAGACTCAGTGAACCTGGGCGGGACAGCAGATGGATCAGAAGAAAGAAAAAAAAGTTAAAAGGGTACACGGAAACAAGGAAAGGGAGTATTTCAAGAAAATGGTGGTTGGAGGGACTTAAAAATCCATCGGCACATCATTAATAATTTGTCGTGATGGGGATAACTGAATACCTGTTATTGAATTCTGTTCAAAAGCCCCAGAGATGAGCTCTGAGGAGCAGGAGATAACCTTGCTTCCACGCTGTGTCTGACATACTGTAGCTTAAGTTAATGGAGAAAAAAGACCAGCTGGGGTATTGTTGGACTTGGAGAGAAAAAGAAAGCCCAATGGAGTCTGCTCTAACCTTTGATCAATATAATGGACTCCAACAACTGTGTGCAATCACCTTACACTACCTAGGAAATGAAGAGCGAAAGTTAGCTAAGGTATTTGTCCATTTCTCTCTGTGGTTCGCTCTCTTTGCACTGAACATGATGTAATTAACAGCCCAAACATTTCCCTGCAACTAAAATTAGACGGTGTTTAATGAGCACTGAGTCTTTTCATTGATAACTTTATAGTCTACTTGCCAGCAGTGTGAACCCGCAAATGTATCTCAAAGTTTTATGATAGAAATGTATAGTACGGGTCCCCAGGACATAGAAACTGCCGGCAACATGTGCACCATTGGCATAAATTGCATTAGTTAGCATAAATTAGCATATGCAGACAATAGCAAAAAAATGGCTTGGCCGATTTCGACAATTTTGGTGTGGTTTTTATAGTATATTGAGGATGTTGAATACATTTTCGGATCCACAATAGCAGTTGTGAGTCTCCTAAAACCCTAAATTCGTCAAAATCATCCCAACGGGATTACAAATGTGGACTGTTTCTGGTTAAAACTGCAATTTTTTATCCCGAAAATGTGAGAAATTGCCTCAATCCTCAATAACCTCCAAAATCACTCCAAACTTCTCCAAATCGGCCAAGCTATTTCTTGACCATTGTCTGCATATGCTAATTAACGCAACATATGCTAATTATGCAAATTGCTCAACATGCAAGTTAGCATCCAGCTGTTTCTATGTGCTGGGGACCCCGAACTATACATTTCTATCATAATACTTTGGGGCACTAAACATTTGTGGGTTCACAATAGGACTCTATGGGCTGGCAAACAGACTATTAAGTGAGTCAATTGAATGAATTCTTAACAGCAAAATCATGGATTTATTTTAATGGTCATTTGGACCATAAGGCGAGGATTAATCTGATGAGATGTTTAGGAGATAAGACGAGCAAGATTGTATTAATTATGAATCAAAAAAATACTCAGGTAAGGTTTGGCAGTTTAGTAATAGTCGATGTGTGAGAGTAATGTTATTAATGATTTAATAACATTAATCCTACGAGTCCTGTTTCTGTGTAGCTACATTGTGATGCCTTATTGTGCCAATATGGCGTTCCAATTTAAGCATAATTAAATGTTCTCATGGCAGACTGAACTAAAATGATGAGTAATGATATTTACATGGATTAAAATTAGGGGTTTCAAGTTATTATGCAAACAATGGGCTCTGTGCAGTTTACCGTTAATATTGCAGTTGCAGGGTATGCAGGGCTCCTCATGAGACCTCCTGTAGTGGTTCTCTCTGCAGCGCTCACAATGGGGCCCGTCGGTGTGGTCTCTGCAGCTCACACAGCGCCCCCCCCTGCCGGTGCTGCGGTACTGCTCCACGTCAAACACACACTCGTCAGACCTCCCGCTGCAGTTGCACTCTGTGGAGGGAAAACAAGAATGAGAAAGAGCAATAGGTCAAGTGAGGAGAGACGTGGAAGAAAGAGCATCTCACAGGAAGAGGAGGTAGAAAGAGAGGAGACAGAAATAGACGGAGAGAGGCAGAGGGAGGGTGAATGTCTGAGAGATTATGTGTTCCGGGATTGGATCATAATTTAGAGGCTCGCTGCTAATCTCATTTCACACAGGCCTAATGAGGAGCCAATCGGCTGTCAGGGGGCACTTAGATAACAGTAATTCATGTTTATACAAGAGCAAATTACTCAGCTGATAACACAACATCACAGCGCTCATACCCCTCATATCAAATCCCTCCTTAGTCTACCAGTCGCCCTGTGGGGGGGGATTTAGGTGAAATTGCCCATTTTATTATGAATCAAGCTCTCTGTTGTGCCGGAAATAACTACATGATTATTCCTTCCTGTAAATAAGTAGACTCGGCACGGTTCACGTTATTAAATAAATGTAATGATCAACAGTTGCTTTAAAACCCATGTTAAAAACTTTGGGTTGAAGGTGAAAGTTTGAAAGGCTTTTAATTAAGAGTTTTTTGTTCCATTTGGGGCTGAAACCATTCATCAAAGACCTTGAGTAACTTAATTATTAAAAGTCATCAACAAAGCTTTGTTTAATCTCTTATCAAATAATAATACATTATTATCCGGCAGTGGCTCAGTCAGTAGGGGCTTGGACTGGGAGCTGTAGGGTCGCCGGTTCAAGTCCCCGACCAGACCTACAATATGGAGTGTGGACTGCTACTTGGAGAGGTCCCAGTCCACCTCCTGGGCCCAGCCGTGGTGCCCTTGAGCAAGGCACCGGACACCCCCCTTCCCCCCTCACTCCCATTGCTCCCTGGGCGCTGTACACTAGCTGCCCACTGCTCCTAGTACTAGCCTCCTGGTACTAGGATGGGTTAAAAGCAGAGAACACATGTCACTGTGTGCTGTGTGCTCTGCATGTGTGACCATTAAAGAGGGTTTCATCCCTCCCAATTCTATTCTATCAATTTGGACCTATAAAACATCAATCACAACTTGCTCAGTCAAGATAATAAATTGAGTAACACCTAAAAAAAAAAAAAGGACAAGTTGATTTTGCACTTCTATCACCTCTCGAACTTATGCCTAGTCCCTTATTCTCACAACTACAATCTTTCTGCTTGAACGGAAACAGAATCTGACACTCCACAAAGAAAGTCTCTGCAGCATGACTCAGCTCTGATTGGCACTGGTGGTCAACTAAAGAACAAATCCGTCCGGTCGGCTCTACCTGTCAGCTCTTATCCACTCTGTCTTTATCGTGCTGCTATACTGCTGCTGCCACTGCTGAGCCTCTGTTTCATTTCCTTTAGTCCCACAAAGTCACGTTGACTCTGAAAGCCTCTCAAAATGTGATGTGATCCATGGTGTTGTACCAGGAGAAGCTTTGATGCTTGCAGACTATCCTCAAAAAGATAACTATTATCTAAAAGTGATGTTTTATTCACATAACTTCAGGTTTATAGGTCATGTCTAGTTAATTCATATTCTGAACTGAAGCGGGGAAATTTAGTTTGTTTAATGATGGGCCCGTCACCCTGGATTGAGCCTCAGGGCAAACTGAACATCTGGATACCCATCCCCCTCGGCAACTTCAAAACGTACATTTGATAATGTTTTAATTAGTTGCAGCTCCTGGTTAATGGGCTTTTGTTTTTACAGTTTTTTCTGGTTATTTGGTTTGTTATCTTTACTTAAAAATAGGAATGTGACTAGTTTTAGTTCACAACTGTGAGGACTTTGTGTATGTTAAATAATGTGATTGCCATGAACAGCCTTTGATGTTAATGCCATATTGGCTTTCTCAAGCACAAAACTTGTTCTTGAGAAAAGGCTACATCAGATGTATGACATTTTTTAAAAGCACAGAATAACTTGTGCCTGTGATCTCATAAAGATCAATATCATGTCTTAAACAGGAATTGAGAAAAGGGTGAGTGAACTAAGAAAATAATGCTGTCAACCGAAGTTGCTTCTGGGTGGAGGGAGGACTCGAAATGTGAACTGGAAATTAACCTGTCCCATTTTGAACCAAAGGCATGGCAATAGTTTTTGATCTTTGTTCGAAAACATTATAGTTTATTCATGTAGTAGGTGCAGTTTGCCCCATCTGGCAATAACCACTGACAACACCCATTTATTAGGCTTGTAACTTTTGAAATAGGTGCGAAAACTAAATAACCAAAGTTTTTTGCACAACTTTCAGTTTTTACCCAAGAACAAATCCCAAAGGAGAAAAAACATTGATTATTTCAGAATCTATTAAAAAACTTTGTGAGTGGTTTTTATATATGAATGTATTCTAAAAACAGGGATTAAGGCCCAGTGTAGCAGGGCAGTTTAAAGGTGGTGTATTTTGCTTGTATTATGTCAGGGAGGGAACCTGAGACAGCGCAAATCACTTAAAGATGTTTTTCTACCGATGCAACACAAAGACCTCCACACAGCCTCCCTCATGTTTGGCCATCTTGACCACATTTAGGTCTGCCCACCCAAAACAACAACCTCTTAAATTCCCATAAATTCCTCAGCCTTTGCTTCACTGCCACTGTGGAAGCTCCACACAAGAAACAAGGCAGAGTCCACAACATTAATACAATTATAGTGCACAAAGGACTTTTTTCTAGTGATTGATGAAGCCACCTCCCTAAACACTATGCCTCACACATTTTTGGATGAAAGATCAACAGTATTACAACAGAGGTACTTTAGAATACAGCACTATGGAGCAATGTGGTGGTGGCCTGCAGCTTTCTCAGCCATAAATTCTACTTTACTCAATTGCACTTTTGATAGCTCAGTTTCTTCTTAAGGTAAAGAAGTAAACTGTAAATGTATGTTTAGCACTTAGCTTTACACAAGGTTAGTGATTTGTATGAACTGTCATTGTGTTAAGAATTGGTTCCCTAGAAACTGTATTTATACTCATTTGCAAAGGTGACACTTTCAAGAGTCAATTTTAGTTTATTGGTTTGGTATGAATGGTAACAAATTCATTACCCTTGGTAATACATGTCTGTCACATAGAAGTGTTCAGTAAGTCCAAAATCAAAAAGCGAAGCAATCGGAATAACCAGATCCTCCGCAACTTCAATGTAAGTGCATGTCTCCAGTACAAGATACAAAAAAGTGCTGCATTATCTGTGTGTGAAAAAAGGGACAGCCCAGTGACTCCAGTGGCACCAACCTCTCCTGACAGGCCAGTCCTGCAGCAATTTACACTCCAGATGAGGGCATTCAAGGACTCGTTAATTTGCATATCAAGCCCATATAGGCGTGGACGCAGCCCCTATATTGCTCCTTGGGGCTCTGTCTCATGGACATTAGTCTGGACACACAGTGAAAGCCATGTTCATTCTATATCTACTGCTCACAGCCCCTAACAGCACAGTATACACTCATTTTTTGCAGCATGCTATAGTAGCACCATGTACAATCTGGTCATAGAAAAGCAATGTTGTAAGTAAGTAAGTAAGTAAAGTTTAGTTATAAAGTGCTTTTTACAGACAAAATCACAAAGTGCTTGACAAAACAATAAAACATCATCATAGGAATCGTACAATGATAAATGAACACACAAGCCACGTGCTAAGAAGTCATAAAAGCACCAAAACATAATCAAAACACAATAAAAACACAATAAAACACAATGAATACAAAATAAAAACGTAGTATAAAATAGAATAAAATCAAGCACACCGGTTACCCAAACGCCTGCCCAAACAGGAATGTCTTTAAATTAGCTTTAAAGGAGTCAACAGAGTCAGCAGACCGTAGATGAGCGGGCAGAGCGTTCCATAGCTTAGGAGCCACGGCTTCGAACGCTCGATCACCGCGGGTCTTAAGGTGGGTACGTGGGACAGACAGTAAATTGTGCACATGTGACCTGAGTGGGCGGGCTAATGTATATGGATGTAAGGATTGTTATAAGATGTTTTATCAACGTTGCTCATTGAAAAGCATCAGAAAATCAGCTACTTTGATGTGAATACTTCCTCAACTACTCATCAAATAAAACAGAGTTTTCCCAAAAAAGGAAAGGTTGGAGAATTTTTTGGTAGTGGATATAAAATAACACACATAAAAAAATGAATTTGATGCATATAACTCATACTAAGTTGACAAATAAAAAAGCTGTTTATTTGATAAGACTATAATGAGCAGAAAAATAATATATAAATGACATGTCATACATGAAAAATATATGTTTATTAATAAAAGGGATGAACCAATTACAAAATATGGAACCAATATTATATATGAGCTAGAATAGCCACACTTCTTGCTGTAATAATGGACATGTTGAGGAAGATGAAACCTTCCACCACACCTGCATGAGAGGTGACGCAATACAGCATCTTATTGTCCTCTGCCTTCTATATCAATAATTTCTTAGTATTGTTGCAGAATGTATTTCGGAGAGGGACCACCAACCCTCCAGGCACAATAATTCCTCATTTTTATATCTAATTTGCTGGACGAATGAGATGTCGGACTAGCCAACGGAGCAGAGCGGCAGCATTGATAAGAAAGCAGTGTGTGAGGGATCATGCTGCGTACATATCTGTGTGACCTTTGGTGTTCTGTTACAGACAGAGCAGACCTCCACCTAACACACACTCTATTGTGCCTTGTACCTTAGGTTAGGATATTTATTTGTGATACAGTACTGCCAAAAAGCAGCCATCCCCATTCTTTACCAAACCAGAGGAGGGCTCAAGTGTCTTGGTGTGAAATCTCATAATCTCCTCTCCAGATATTCAAAGGTAATCTGTAAGGACAGTATCTGCAGTGAGAAATGCAGAATGAAGCCTTTGGTTTGTATGTTATATGATATCATCTGTATTGTTATCTTAGCCTGAATAAGGAAAAAAGTGATAAGTTGTTTAAATTGGTTTTTTATTTTAGTATACCTGACTTCCTATATCGTAAGAGCAGTTCAA